GGCTTATAAAAGTATATTTGAATTGCAATTTGAGCCTCATTAAGCCTGCCTTGACGCCTTCTGTCATGCATTGGGAGACAGGACTGACTGCGTTTATCTGGTGGATGCCAGCTGCAAAGAAATGCCTCAGCAAGTGGATCTTTATCATGGTATGATTAATCCATAAGATTTGTTCCAGCAATTCTTCTGCATAGCAGGACTAAAAGCAAATAACAGAGATTCCTTTAAACTCCTGAAAATTTTTGTTGTTCATGTGTGACTCTAGTCAACAATTGCAATGGCAAGAAAGAATGTATGTTGTTTTTATGTGAACTGTGCCACCTTCTGCTGTTTTCAATAATGTGTGGTAGTGAAAAAACAATGAAGGTGAAGCTGATCCCAAAACTCAGAAATCATCACTTATATAGATTCTCTGATGTTGCTTTTCAACTGCTGAAAATAGTCACTGAGATGCTATTGCACATTATATGGATTTGCATTTTTCAAATTATGTGTCCATAATACAGGAATTATAGATAAAAGTTTGGACTGAAGATTTGGATTTGCCATTCATGCATCTCATCAATATACCAAAGAAATCTACATTCCTACAAATTGTCTTGAAGTTTTTGACATGGCAGGTATTTCAGAGAATTATAGGATCATAATTACAGCTGCACACACATTGTGGTGGTAATAGGTATCTTATAAATATCTAGGATAAATTATATTATATTAGATTAGATTGGATTAGATTAGATAGAAACATCTGTAGATTAACACTTTGAGGAAATGATGAGCACATGCAAAATTCAGGAGGGCCTCGCCTCTGAGTGCATATATTTATTCTACACATTGGGATTCTCAATACCCCATCTAGCAAAGTGTCATTTACTCTAGGATGGAATGAAACATTGTGTGGTTGCCTTCTCCTGCATTTTCATTGCTGTTGGCAGGTTTTGTGGGTCTCTTCTCACTTGTTTATTTGGAAGTTAAATTTAAAGAGATATATTTTATTTGCATTTTTTGACAGAACAATGAAAAGACTTTCAGCTATTCTTCAGTCCCATCTGAATATATCCACAGCAAGGTAGTGAGGAATTGGGCTGCAATTTGACATTTTATGTAATGCTGCTGTTATTTAGCAAACTGACTTGAAATCTCAGGCTCACTATGTCCATCTGTCTCACTGGCAAATAAATAAATTAATTTATAGTGCTAGAGGACTGACAACACACTGTGAATGAAATCCATGCTACAGAAAAAAACAGGAGGGTGGAGAATGCTCATGACCACCCTATGCCATAATCACAAAATCATGCACATCTGAAGCCCTTTTTGTTGAGCAGTATATGTGAAGCCTGCTTGGTGAACATCCAGATTGTATTCCCAGTATGATAACTGGGGGGGCTGATCCAAACCACAAAAAGTAATTTAGAGATTTTTATAAAACCCTGGGAATAATTTTTAGCATCTTAAGATACATTTTCCAAAGGGCTTCACTGAATTCATGGGAATGCAAAAATCAAAGGATGCTCATTATTACGCTAAGAATTTCCTTTCGTACATTTTTAGAGTGAAAATTTGACCATAGATAAACAGAAGAAAAAGAAATAACCAGGGGTATTGTGTCGTGTGTCTAATATCTCTCAGAGCTCAATGTCTGTTCCAATTAAGAAAACTCCACATGGTGTGTAAACATGTTAGCATTGGCATGAATCTTTTAGCCTGTTTTTTTTTCCCCTCACAAGAACTGAGAAATAATAGCAGGATACCTTCATGCTGCTCAGTCACTGTGAGGCACAGCACAGGGACGTGGACTTCTACTGGCAGTGTCACATTATTTATCTGCTTAATTTCCATTATCTTTAATGAGAATCGCATGGATAAATCTCTGTGCTTTTAAAAACTGAGGGCATTCTTCAATCTTTAATGCTCACTATTGGGAGCAATTCCTTCCTGTCTGGACACCAGAATGCAGAGCATATTCAAGCAGTCAGCTTTGCTTGGCAGCATGAAAGGTAACTGTGGGTCTGATGCTTCTCCAGGGCTCTCTGTGTCACACGCGTGCAGCAGCCCTGAGCTTCACAAGCTGCAGTAACAGCCCACTGCTGAGCCAGAGCACAGAGCAAGGGCTTTGCTAAGCTGTCAGTGCTAAGGGGGAATAGAAACCCCTACCATGGGGCTGTGTTAGGTGTGAGACAAGGCAAAGCATAACAGGCTGTGGTGACACACAAAGAGTAGTGGCTTGTCCTTGTCCTTCTTGGTGAGACTTGGCCAGAGCTGGGAGAAAAGGAAGCGCTCAGGCATAGGTGTAGCACTCCCAGGATCCAGGTGCACTGGCACCTTTGCCAGCTCAGAGGGTCACTCACCAAAAGGCCACCTGTGAACATTCTGCTCACGCACAATGTCCAGCATGTGCCACATTGTCCTGTGGCCTAGCAAGCACAGCCCTTGCTGCAGCACCATGCCATGGGAAGATGCAGGACAAGGAACCCGTGCAGCCACTGTGTGTGACCAAGAGAGACACCAGACTGCATCTTCAGTCAGAAGCCCTCAGGGACGTCCCAGCAACTGATGAACAGCCTAAACAGCAGGAACAGGACTGGGAGTCAGGCTAGAGCACCTGCCCTTGGAAGTCTGGGTTTCCACCAAGTTGCCAGTTCAGTGAGTCCCCAAACCTCACTTAAGAGAAAGGCTCTTTCAGCCAATTCTCTACAATCTAAATCTGCCAGAGTGGATAAAGAACACCAGTTCAAATATCTCTATGTTCAACAAAGGTCTTGCACCTGAATTAGTATCTCCAGAGACCATCAGACAGCAGCATCTTCTGAAACAGTCTTACAGAATGCAGTGGAAAGTGCTGGCATCTATAGCAACTTTCCCAAAGCACTCTTCAGGCCAAATAAGGAATTTATTTTCAAAGAATCCCTCTGCGAAAGAATTCAGGTCACACAGTCTATAGAAAATAATTCACTTCTCATTACTACTACACTGACTAGGCATAAAGAGCATTGCAACAATTACTGTTGTCTTTACACACACTAGATTTGTATCAGCAGAGAGAAGAAAATACATGGAGAAAAAAAGTACATAGAGAACACTGACACAGTTGGGTGGATTCTTCTGGAGGATGTCTCTGCAGTAAAACTGAGCTCTGCCCAGGCCCAAAGCTGCATTTACTAAAGTCACGCAGCTGCTATCAACCCAAACTATTGAACCTACAAAGTTTAATACCTGCAAAGACCTGTGGATTCCTACTCACTAAGATTTGCAATAGGATCAGTTCAGTCACACAACTGAGTGTCTGTGTTACTCAGAGGCAATTCATCTCACAGGCTGAGCCTGTATGGTCTAACCCAGCACAACACCTAAAGGAAAACCATTCCTACAGCCCAACAATTTAGAAGCACATGCATGTGCTTAACTCTGCTCCATGAACATGGAAAAACTTGTGTGGGACTGGAGTTTGCACAGAGCAGGTTTTCTGTTTTCATGTGCAAGTTACAATCATACTTCTGATTCAGAATTACCATTTTCCCCCCTGTTTGCCCATCCCTGTTTCATACAGTGGCTCTTCCAAAACTATCAGTCTGCAGTCATAGGCATCACATTGGGAGCTAAGAGCTTTAAGCAATGTTTTTTTCTTAGGAACATGAGTTACTGCCTGTGCACAGCAAGACAGAGTGGCAGAGTGACACACAATTAGACATGGAGCAGTGTTTTCAAAATGCTTAGCTCTTTCTCTTTTCATTTTTTAATATTAGAAGTTCTATAGTTGCATTTGTCTGACACACAGCCTTGGTAACTTATAAAGTCACACTACAAAAGCCTTAGTAAGTCATCTATCCTTTCCTCATGCTAGTATAAGGTTTCACCATACACTGCACCTTCAGTGTTTTGTCCAGCTAAAGTACAATGGAAGAAATGAAAGTTCTGCTCAATTTTCAGCCTTCTGAAAATATCTACTAAGCCTGAGAGGTGTACGACCTCCCAGCAGTGCTTCCCAAACACCCTGGTCCCAAACTAGGGGAAATAGGTTGTAATTTGTTTCTCCACATGATGTCTTTTCATACCTCACCCTTTTTCTCAGATCATTTGTCAAGAGTTCACTGATCTCTTCTTATTAGTTACAGGGGCTACAAGAAGATAGAAAAAGAATGTTTGACCAAGCATATAATGAGTCATGGGTTTAATTTAGTTCCACCAGAATCTCAATGTGACCTTGAAACCTTCTAACACAATAAATCAGACCAGGGGGTATCAGCAGAAGGTGTCTGGCAGATCCCAGTGGATGCTAACTCCGTCGGGTCTGCTTCGGGGGGCTCCCCGCCTAGGAGAAGCCCATTAAGGAGCCGTCTCGGTGTGGAGTCTGCTCTCCAAGAAAGCCACCCGTGGGGCTCTGTTCCCGCGGAGGAAAAGTGGCCACGGTCACCCAACCAGCAGCTCGTTTGAGGGCACTGGAGCTTGGCCGCGCCGCCCGGGCGCGGGTGCCGCGGGCGCGGCTGGCTCCGCGGGCGGGCGGGCAGCCCGAGGGGCGGGCGGGCTCCTCGCCCCTCTCCGCGGCCCCCCGCGGCGGAGGGCTCCACCCCAGCCGTGTCAGTCACGCCGCGGAGCCGGGCGGCGGGCGCGGGGCGCGGGCGAGCAGGGGGCCGGGGCGGAGGCGGCCCCGCTCACCCCGCCTCCCGCCGCCGGGGCTGCGGGGCAGGACCCGCCGCCGAGCATCCTGCGGGCCTCGCTGCGCTCCTCGCCGGGGCGGGAGGCGGTGGCAGGTGCCCCAGCCCGGGACCTTCCGGAGCGCACACCCCGCAGCTCGGCCGTAGCGGATCCTTCTCTCTCCGCTCCCGTCCAGCACACGGGGGTCGAGGGCTGGCGGCGGCGGTGGCAGGACCCCGTCCGTCCCCTGCTCGCCCCTCTACTATCCAACCGAAGGGGACACTTAAAAGCCGCGGGAGAAGATTATGGCAACGTGAGTGAGCAGCGGCGCCGCCTGGCCGGACCCCCCGTAGCCGGCGGAGCGGAGCGCGGAGCCGCGCGGTTGTCCCAACCCGAGCGCAGCTCGCGGCGGTGTCCGAGCGGAGCGGAGCGGCCTCCAGCCGTGCCCCAGGTTTGTGAGCTTTGCTGTCCGGGACGAGGCCCCGGGAAGGCGCGGTCCCGCTGCCGGACTTACTCCGGGGCCGCGGCACAGACAGCCCAGCGCGGGACTCGACGCCTCCCGGCGTTCCGTCCGTCCGCGTCCCGCCGCCCCCTCGGGGCAGCGCCGGCACCTGGCCCGAGCCGAGCCGAGCTCCCCTCCCGGGCGCTCCAGGGCCGTTCTGTCGGAGCAGCGAGAGCGGAGCCGCCCGCCTCCGGGTACTCCCGACGGCAGCGGCGGACGCGCCGCTGGGATGGAGGCTCGGGAGGAGCGGAGGGAGAGGGTTCGCAGTGCGGCTGCTGCGGGGCAGCGCGGCCGTCGGGGCTGAGCTGTCCCGCCGCTGCATCACCGCAGCCCCGCAGCCTCTGCCAGCTGCCCGCGGCGCTGCCATTTTTGGATTTTGCGGGTTTTTTTCTCTAATCGTAAAACGTGGCGAGGCCGGACACTGCCTCTTGTAGTTACCAAACCGGGCTCTTTGGAGGGCGAGGCGTTAAACAGAGCCCCTTCTGCTTTATTTCACGAAGTAATTAATGTAAGATGTGGATGACTTTAATTGTTTCTACAATGCAGAAAATAGACCAATAATTAACAGGTTAATACTAACTGTGATTATTTAAATCCAGGAATTTTTTTTAGGACATTGCCCTTTGGGGAAATAAAGGGAGTGTCCTAATAGTGAAAAGTATGTGTTTATATTTGGAGTAACAACAATACAGAAATTAAAGAGAATTAAGAAAGACATCAAAAGTCTCCATCCCATTTCTGTTATTAACTCCTCCATCTAACATTACTGTGCAGCATTTCTAAAAACAAGCAGTTAAAGTTTTGTAATGTTCTTCCTTTTGAAGACCTGACATTTAAAATAGGTGGATTTCCCAGCCTTTCTATTCCAACTAACCAACCTAGCTAACAGATACGGTGCTGCGCAAAGGATAACTGTACGCCATTTATAATTATTGTTTGCTTAAGCAATTCCTAAGAAGGCTGAAATATTTAAACATTCACATTTCTGCTAGTCCCAGTGATGTGCTACTGTTGTTCTGAATGCATGCATGATGTCCTGGGACTAAATTATGAGCTTTTAATGTTTAACAGGTTTTTTAAAGTATATTTGGCTTCAAAAATGTCCTATGTGATTTGAATATGTGGAAAGGGAAAAATTACTTAAACCCTTCTTCTCAAATTGAAACATTATTCTCAACTTGCAAAATAAATGGAAAGTTATGCTTAGTTACTGAACAGGCACAGTGCTTTAAAGAAGGGATTTCTTTAAACATTTTCAGAAGCAATTTGCATTGTTTTGAATGAGCTTACTGAGTACAGAGCAGTGGCACAGGTTTAGTTAGTTAAGGAAGATGTCCATTGTGGTTGTGGTTTGGAAATACAGAGAATTCTTGAACAGTGAAGGCAATGAAGCTGCTGATAACATCAGATCACACGCCCTTTGTTACAGTATCCTAGGTCTCAATAGTCTTAATAGGAAGATCTACATTTTAAGGGCTTCTTAACTTACTGTTTAGTTTCTTTAAGTTATCCATCACTTTACTTATTCATATAGAAATTATTATTTTTGCCTTGATGATCCGTAAGTTTGGACATATTTATATACAGTTCCATTATTTACATGAAATCTGACGCGGCCAAATTAGTTTTCAAAACAGACCGCTCATTTTTCCAATAGTGACTCTTCTTGGGTTTTTTAAGCTTATGTAAAACTAATAGTGAATCCATATCAAGGCTTTTAAAATCACACCCAAATCTTTCCAACATTGTATGTTATGGACAAGTGCACTCTGGGAAGATAACACTTTAGCAATGAATGCTTATAAACATTGGAGCAGCAAAATAGTAGAATCTTAAGTTGACTGTATTAAAAAACAATCTACCTTAGTTAATTGGTTAATTATTTCCATAAAAATAGTTCACTTATTAAAACCCAGAAAAAGAAAAACAGAATCACACATGAAACAAGAACAATACCAGCTCTGAACCACACAGAACAGAAAAGAATAAATTAAACTTTGCCCCACCATGCAGGATTTTGACATTAAAGATCTAAAGGAATGAAGATGACAAGTCATTCCCCTACTCTGCTCTCAGCTATCAAGGCAGCAGAAGGGTTAACTCTAGAAAAATTAATTATACACAGTAGCAGAACAATAGTGGTGGGGAGAGGGGCGAGCTGAATAGTGCTGGAAGCTTATTAGATGTGGTAAGGAAAACTCCCACTGGCTGCAGCAGGGCCTGTGGCTCACCCTGAGCAGGGATTTGCACAGTGCAGGACCTGAACTCCAGGGACACCCAGGGTTAACTTTAGGATGAAGCAAACATGTAGCAACTGACACCACAGATACATCTAAAAGTGATGCTCTACAAGAACATATCCCAAACTAGTTTCTTGGGAAAGAGAACTAACTTTTAAGAATTTAGATTGCTTACTTGCCAGATTGCTTTGAAATAAAACAAGGACGTTTTTAGAATAAATATCCAGTTTTCAGCTTTCAGGAATAGGAATGTGCCCCCTTTTCCAAAAATTAAATGATCTGAAGGCAAGGCTGTTTCCATGAAAGGAAGATGCATGATACAGATTTTTTGTTGTTGTTGTTGTTGTTGTTCTGGCAGTTTAGGATTTCTGTGTGCTGGATGAAATAATTAAGTATCTTACAAAATTTTAATTTAATTAATTTAATATTTTTTCCCAACAGCTCAACATTCTCTTCTTGGAGGCTCTTTCTTTTTCTGTTGATGATAAAGATGGAAAGAAAGTGGATATTGGAGGATTTTAATTTTATCTTTTTTGGTGTGCTCTGTCTCCTTTTCATAGATGGAGGTAAACTAGAACAAGTAAAACGTAAGTAGACTTCAAACATAGCTGTCACCGTCATTTAATATTTTCAGATGTGGTTCAGAAAAAAAATGTCCAAAACCTTCTAACATTCTCCTCCTTCTAATCTTGTATTTAGTTGAATAAGGCCACACCCATATTTGGGGTACATTTTCCTAAAGCTGTACAGGTTATAGTGCATCGTAAAGAACGTAACACATCAGTTGGAGAATCTGTTTTATTTCAAATATCCTGAGTCAAGAGTGTGCTTAATTCTATTTGGTAACTTCTGTAAACATCTGACAGATTATCTGGATCTGTCCCATGTGCAAGACTATTGTGCTGAAGTTTTCAGCTAGTATAAAGCTTGTCCAAGACTGTTCTGTTGTGTTGTAAAAACAACCTCACATGAACTGGATTAGATTCTCAACATCCTTTGAGAAAATTCAGAGTCTCTTAAAAAATCTGTCAAAAACTTGATGAGAAGAATTGAAAAGAATACAAACAAAATAAAGGAAGCATTTCTGCAAAGTCTGTCATCCGTGGGAGATGTTAGCATATTTCAGAAATCATGGCAAGGAGGAATAGCTACCCAAATAAGTCTAGGAGTTATTGACTGCTTCAGCCTTGTTACTGGGTCTCTGGAATGCTCCCCCTACCTGCACAGGTTGGGTTTTGGCCTCCTTCTTACCAAATAGATCATTTGCCCTTAAAAAATTTTAGCCTCAGTATCAGCAGGTTGTGCTTCCAAGGAAGATGGAGGGAAGACAAAAGAGAGTGAGTTCCAGAAAAGCCCTCTGCCCCATTGAACTCACTCACAGGAAAAGCATGTGCAGGAGCCTTGTTCAAAGAAAGAGCAGTGAGAAATTGCCAAGCTCCAGCTGTCTGCTTTTTTGCATCCTGTGTTTCATTTGTCATGCTCCTGTGTGAAGGGAAAGCAGATCACAGCTTCTACTAACAGTCCCTAGCTCTGGCTACTTTCTTCTAGCCCAGTAAATGTGGAGACTGTCCCTGGCTTGGATTAGCACATGTAAGATGGGTATTTTGCTAAGATATCCTGAAGTATCATCTATACTGTAGGTAATGACTTAAACTGATCTTGGATATCATTAAGATAACAGAAAGGAATTCCCACATGGAAACACATGAGGAACACCCTTTTATTGTAGAGATTTGAGGTCTGACCTGTATGTGGATTTCTGCAAGCCTGTAACTGCAAGATCAGAAGTGCTTAGTGAACAAAATATCTTAAAATATTTTGAAAGCTGATGCATAAATTATTTCAACATCTCTCTGTGGTACAGCCTGGGATTTTCCTGAGTTGGACCAATTGCTTTGGTTTTGCAGTGGAGAGGTTTTGTTTTCCATAAGCCTCTCTGAGTGATCAGGCACTTAAATTTTCTTACCTAAACAGGTGAAAGGATAAACTCACCTGTATGAAAACCATTTAACCATCATTTCAGGAGTTGCAATTTTTGAAAAATGGGAGGCCATGTCATTTATTTTGGTTTGGAATATTAGAAAAAACAACATGTGGAATTAAGGGTCTTTCTGCTGTGTCTTTTTCTCCAGGAAAAGAAAAAGTAGTTTACAGAAAACTGCACATCTAAATAGACTTCATACACGTGGAATGGAAATTTTCATTCATAGCTCTTTCAATTCTTTACTGTTTTACAGATTCAGATACATACTGTGTGTTTCAAGATAAGAAATACCATGTAGGAGAAAGATGGCATCCTTATCTAGAACCGTATGGCCTTGTTTACTGCGTTAATTGTCTTTGTTCAGAGGTAGGACTGCTGAGTTATTGATCCTACAACTCCTGCTTGCTTCACTGACTAGAATCCTTTCTCATGTAGCTACAGTTTGACAAAGCCCAAACCTATTTTCACTAGTGGGTCCTGGTCATGCTGCAGGAAATAGAGGCAGGTGATACTAGTGAAAGGAAAATATTAACAGAGAAGGCTAATACTGGCAAAAAATACTTGCATAGCACAGACAAACCAGCTCCTTAATTAGCCAGAAGCTTTGTGGATGCTGGGCATTACATCTTGACTGATAAGGCCCCACTACCTAAGTATAATCCTTGCAGTTCCACCAATATGGAGGATTATGCTGAGTTTGGTACTTTCATCTATGTACACTGCCAGCATCTTCCAGCCAAAGAATCTGCTGCCCTAAAGTGCTGAAGGAGCAGGCTTAGATATCACTGTTAGTAAAAGTCAGTCAAAGAAGAATGAGATGATGAAACATGAGAAAAGGTTATGGGGAGCAGAGAGAATTGGATAGAACATGAAAGGGCTCCCATCAGTTGATGGCTGATGCAAAAACACAGCACTCAGAGATCCCCATAGTATGTCATATACAGCTGGGAGGAGGCACAAAAATGAGGGCAGTTTATGTCCGTTAGAGTACTTTAAAATAAACAGTGAGGGATCTTAATCACTAACACATGAGACACTCCAGATGCTGAGTTCTGTCTGCTATATTTAATGCAGAATAAAGTATTCCTCGCTATTTTCCCTCCCTGCAAGTGTAAAATATTGAGCCCCTGTGCAGCATTTGCGCTAAGGGAATCTGCTACTACAATTCAGTGCAGAGATGCACAAACAGTAGTCCCACAAGTTTAGCTGCAGAATGCAGCTGTGAGAGAAAAAACAATGTAGTAGGAAGGAAAAGTCTTTGTTTAGAGCAAAAAGGAGTTTCCACTCAACTTTTGCTGATGTATATGCCAAGTTGAAAACTCCCTCAGAGTTTGTGTGGAGTAAAACACTCATTAAATCACTGGAAGAATGTGTCTTGGGTGGGGAAAAAAATAACTGGCAATCTTAGAGAATAAATGCTCAATGATTTTTAGAGAGATGTTGGACAGTTTGGAGGGATGGAAAAGTGCCTGGTCAGCTCCTCTAGACAGCATTGCTGGGACCCAGACACACCCACACACTATGAGTCTCCGAAAAAGAGTCTGTTTTATTTTTTAACTTGGGTGCAGAAGACAAAGTGATAGTTCAGGGCAGCAGGTTTAGTAAAGAAGGAAACTGCTTATGGTAGTTTCCAGTATATGCAGGCTCAGAATTGGATTGCACTTTACTCTCTTGTTTGCTGTTTTACCTTTGGTATACCATGAGGGTACACCAAATGTAACCTGGGATAATTTCAATAGTGAGGATGCTGATCTCTTGGATGTGACTCTTGTTGTCTAGAAGGAAGACTGCAAATAACAATTGTAGCATCCACACACTCCTTTGACCTTTCTCCTGGCCAAAATCATGCCCTAAGAGTACTGACCTACCATGAAAGCTCCTGAAGTTTCATAATTTTCATGAAGTTTCCTTCAGGAAACCCTCAACAATTTATAATTTTTTTAACAAAATAAAGGCATTAGAAAACACATCATGACATAGCACAAGCACAGACCATAAACCAAATACAACAGCATAAAAGATGAAAGTAAAGTGTGCCACAGATAGCAAGTCAGAGAGATCTAAGTGTAAAGCACATATGATTCCCTGGTAGGTAGGCAGAGGATTTTTAGAGAGTCTGATGCAGCAACTGATTCCCTCATACTGCAGAGAAAAGCAAAAAAATCCCCAGGGGTCTTTATGTCCAGTGCATCAAAATGTCTTTGCTGGCCACAGACATTGAGATCCACATGATGTCTGTGCAAAACAAGTCACATCAGCCAGGCAGCAGACAGATCTCTGCTCTGTCTTTAAACAGTCTGTCTGTCCATCCCCCCAGCACACACACTTCTGATGTTTAAGAGAAAGGTAAGGCAAATTAACTACACAGAGGCCAAGTTATACAGCCTGGCATTAAAAAAAAAAAAACAACTTTCCTGGTTTTGTGTGTGTATATAGTATTGTATTTTTACAAGTTATAATCTCATACGTAAACCAGAATAAAACTAAACATAATTCAGTGTTCTCATCTTATTCCCCCTTCCTTTTACAACTCCTCCTCCCCCCAGGTTCATAGTGGAGCCTGTTGACTGTTACTGTCAAGTAAAATAGAGCACTCACAATTTGTCAGATCATAATTTTACTCCCTAAAATACAGCAGTTTTTTGCTTTTGCTTGTGTTCATAGTCATATCTGCAGACTTCAGGCTAAATGACTGCTCTTCACATTCAGCACTGATAGCCCAGCTTCAGGAGAGAGATGCATCAACACTCTGGTACCTGATGCAGAAATGTGACCTTGGTCCTGGCTTAGAGAGTCTGACCAGCACTTGAGTCCTGCTCTGGTCAGTGGGGCTGTTCTCCCAGCTCTCACTGTGAATGCAGGTGGAAGATCAGTCTCACTAAGCACAAGATCAGTTACAAGAGCTCTGTCCTGCAGCAGACAGTGGAGTCTGGCTGGCAGCAAAGTTTGCCTGCAGAATTTTATAATTTATATCATTTATTTTTATCATTAATTTTATTTTTACAGCTGACCATGCACAGAAAGTAAACATTCACCTCAGGAGATTCCACAGGACTTAAAATGAAAAAGAGTGAGGTCACAGAACAGGACAAGTCAGCAACATGGAGACAGGTCAACAGGGAGTGCCAGCCTTTCTTCTACAGCAGCACTTCCCATGCTCCCACGTCTGCTGGGCAAGCAGCTGTGCAGACCAGGGATAGTCCATATTCTCTGAAGATCCTTCAGTCTAAAATTTGCTCCTTTTCTACAAAATCAGTGTATTTCCTTTCAATTCTTATTGGAAACAGATGGTGATAATAATTTTTAGTGTCTCTTTCCAAAGCAGATGCACAACTGTAGTTTGTGGCTAGCAATGATCTAACAGTAGGATTCCAGCCTGTGGTCTGCAGATACTTGTCAATGAATTATTTTGAAAGGGATGAATAGAAAAGCCTATACATCTGCTGTCTAGGGAAGTCTGCACGTTCACTGAAAACATTTCAGTGCTCCAGAAGGCATATGAAAATAAAGTGGGTTTAGTCCTGACACCACCTAAAACTACAGTCATAACTTAGTATCAATGTTGATGCTGAAAGATCTTTCTTGTTATAAATATGAGCAACTCAGAGGTAAATTAAGAGGATGAATTATAGATGGGAAATGGGAATTTGAAATGGATAGTCTTTTCTGGTTACAGACACCAGAGAATGAAATTTCCCTGTGTTTTAATTATAAATCAAACTTAGTTGTGGTCAAATAGAATATTATGTTAATGACATGAATAATGAACCCTATTCCCAAGACTTAACTCATATTTCTTAGAAAAATGGCTACTTACCATCTGGGTTTTTTTGTCTACTGGGAAAGCAATAAAAGGAAAACAAAAGGCTCTCCACAGTTTTCAGGAACAATTACAGATGCTATTGTCTCTTGTGGTCTTGAACTAACCCTCAGTAGGGGATATCTCAGAGATCTACCATTTATCCATGTCTTAGTTTTGGAAATGCAATTCCTAAGCATAATCTGCTCAAAAGAAAAAGACAAATGGAAAGAAAAAGAGAAATGGAGATTGTTGCTATCCATTGTTAGACACTTCTTCCAATTTTAAGATTTTTAAGGATTTCTGACCTCCAGCATAAATTCAAGGGCAGTGGTAGTATCTGAGCATATCTCAGTGTGAGTGAAACCAGAACATTGTAAAAAGGCTTTTTTTTTTAAAAAAAAAGAGTTTGGATGTAGAATAGAGAAGAAAGAAATTTTAAGACAGCACATTTCATTAAAATACTATGTACTATGTTCCATCTGCAGAATGGAAATGTTTTGTGCAGCAGAATAAGATGCCCAAGTCTACACTGTGCTTCCCCTGTGCATGTACCACAGCTGTGCTGCCCACGATGCCCAGGTAATTCCTATTAGTGACAAATAGTCCTTTCTGGAATAGTTGTTTAATATGCTGAGTAGCAACAAAATTGAATATTTGTGCTGGAAAACTTCTGTGAAGCAAACATCCTCCTGTATCCATTTAGGTCATGAGAGCCTTGTCCTACATTAAGTTACAGTATTTCCCGTGGTGTTTCCTGTTTAGGAAATCAGAAGTATAGATTTGTGAAGGGATCAGGTAAGCTACCAAGTCCAATCCCCTACAATCCAGGCAGAAAGTAGCGTCCTTTCATCGACTGTCCATTCCAGACTCCTTATCTCTAAAGCCTATCACAATAAACCATCCCAAAAACTTCCTAGGCTTCTGGTTTTGGTGTTTTTCAACAGAGCAGACCAAAATATGTGGTTATTTGCTATGGCTGTCTGTTAAAAAGCAATTCAAAATTGCTTTGGCAAATGTGCATTTGTATAGTGTCACTGTACAACCAGTCTGGTAACATTTACCTTTCACATCTCAGTTCCAGGCATAGCTTCATAATTAGTAGAGACTGTTGTAAATCATAGAAGCAGTGCTGCAGAAGTTTATGACTATATAAATCCAATTGGATACTGTATAGTAAATTCTCCAGACTGTACATTTATTATATGCTCATTATTAAGAGCCACTGTATGAAAGAGACTAAGCAGGATCTTTCACGAGCCTGTTCCAGCATTCCCGACATGGCCTAATGGCTGGGAGATTTGACTGGAGCTTTTCCCTAAATGCTTGTCTTAGTGGCACCCCACATTTCCATTTATAAAAGAGTATTCATGCAGCATCACAGAAAGGGGTTTTATTTGGCTTTCTCCAGAGACTTTAATTGTCTGAGGAAAACAGCTATTCCCTGAGCACAGCTTGTCAGCAGGAGGCAGTAAGTGCACAATGGCAGAGGAACATGAGTGCACAAGAAGGTTGCTGTTCAGGTGGGATGGATGTGTTCACTGCACTGGATAATAAATGGTATCCACATAGCAGTTTTGGGTTGGATTCATCTTCTCTGACAATTGTATCCTCTCTCTATTAGATATGTGTATCAATATCTGATATAGGTGTCTAGAATCTTTTTTTAACCAGTGACAAGGAAGAACCATTTTGAGCTTATAACTCATCTGATGCTGTGATGCTGCTTTTGTTTCTTAGGATGACATTGAGCCCATTCAACTTTAAATCCAAATTTAAAGTTGAATGGAGTTGGAACATCCAGTTGTTTTCTTGAAACATCCATTGGAGTTTTCTCTATAATGGTCTACTGTGTAAGAAAGAAAATTCCTAAGGCAAAATGCTTTCTTTGACAAACTAGAACTTTGTAAAATAGTAAGGTGCTGGGAATACAAACCCCTCTTTTGTCTTCAGATCAAAAGACGGACTGGTGTGCTGGTGTGCCCAAAATCTTTTCTGTTTTTCTAGCTAATCTAAGCTTCAGTTGGGAAGACAATAATCTAGATATCCTTTACAGCTGTTGGAAACATGAGAGTGATTCATCCTGTCACCCAGAATGAGAAGACTTTTTTTCCCTGGATACACCATCACTCTTCACTGATTATTGAGGGAACACAGGAGAACTGGATGCTTACTTTTTGACAGTTTAAGTTAAATCACAGAAGTCCTACTCAATAATTGGCATTTGCAGTTAGGAACATTTTCTATTATTTTTTTAGTATCTTTGTATCATATAGAAACATAAATGCTTTTTAGATTGACTGGTTTTGCTTCAAGTGTTCCTTGGCAATGAACTCTTTTGGCTTTTTTCTGTTCATGAGCTTGTAAATGTTATGATACCTATGAATATTTTTAAACATTCTACAGTGATCTAGTAAGGAAGAGTAAGACCCAATATAAACTCTCATATCCATTTTATCAAGTTAAGCTCTTCCTATTCACAGTCTTCAGCTGGAATTTTGTACTCCATATTTAAACTGATAAATATGGAAAATTATTAGAATGAGTCTTTCTTGAATTGTCATCTTTTATCTTCTCTTAGCTGCTCCTAAGGTGTATTTGTAATCAATCTACCAAAAATGATGGGTCATTACATTGCTAGCTGTGCACTATCTCACTAAAAATGTGTCCCATGAAGGTCTGGTTTTCCCCTGATTGGATCTGTAACAATGTTAGGTAAAAGAGAACTCAGAGTCTCCTGTGATTTCAGGGGTTATTTACATTCTGCTTTTTGCAGCAATTATGTGTATAATATTTGGTGCTCTGTCTTCAGTGGTAATTGTTCATGCCTGATTTGAATAGGTATCTCCAGCATTCTCGCAGATCTTGTGCCAACTTTCCATTCCTATGTGTCCAGCATACAATGACTTTTGTGCAACATCCCATGATATGCAGGAAATTCACTTCTCTGGTTTTCCTGGTTATTTTTTAATGGAACGTGTGAGAGCTCTGGCCATTGGCCATCCATGTGAATTTCTCTCATAAATGCTCGTTATATTCTGTCACATATGTTTCCCCTCCATTTCTCAAGCTGCTTTACAGAAATGAGTAATGCTAGTCAGAGTGACCTGGGGCTCTTCTCTTGCCTCTCTGCAGGCCTTGTAGAGTGTAACTGCACAAGTCACTGTCTCCTTGTTCAATGAAGCAGAGGTAATGCCAGGAGGCAGCATCTTTCATTGGACATTGAACTTCTTAGCTACCTAAGAGAAGGAGCTGTTGAAAGGATTCCTTTGAGAAAAGTTGGCACTGCTTTCGCCCTGGAATTAATGTCTTCTGCATCCATAGTGACACTGGACTCACTGACACAAAGAGATGCAGTGTTTGTATCCTGTCTCCCTGGCACCAGACATCATGAGTCTTAAGTAGTTTTCAGACATATGTTATGAAGCATCTTCTACTTCCATCAGTGGTTCATCAGATTCTACCCCAGTTTCCCTGCTAACCTTTCTTTTTTTAAAATCTATTCTTTCTAGCATTAGCAAAATCCAGACCTTGTTTCTTACACAGATCTAGATATGCCTTCCTTTTGCAGCTCTGAAAAGTATTTTACCATTTGGACTGTATTCTTCTTATCATCACACATATGTAACCAAAAGCCTAGGGTCACATGAATTGAGACTCTTTTTACACACTAGTGAGACTCAAAGGGCATCACATGCTTCTGAGCTTGATCTCCTTCCTTCCACCTCAGGATGCTCCAGACATCATCAGAGGAGAGGTGATTTGTAGTTAAGGGAGAGAATTCAACATCACTCTCAGCTCTGGATCAGCTCTTGACTTAGAGTGGACTTCAGAGCTTCTGCCTCCTGTCATGAAAATAAACTTCATGTAGAAGTTCTTTGAGCTTTTAGCTGTGGCTGTCTTTTACGGCACTTCTATGGACAGTGCCTTTAAAGCTGGAACATTTATTGTAGATTGTATAATTTCTACATTCAACGATTATAAATCAAAGTATTTAGAGTCTAGTTAAAGATCAAATATGTAAACCTAAGAATAGCTTACATCAGAAGAAAAAATTCACAATTGGAGGATTTAGAAAGGGTTTCCACATTCCACTTGCTGGTTTGATTTCTCAGCAGATAAGGCTGCATGCTGATGTATGAATCAGCCCATCTGGCTCCAGTATTTTCTAAGCTTGCTGCCCTGACTAAACACACTGCCTTCCAAGAACATTCAGTATTAGTAACATGCTCAAGTTTAAGCTCCTTTAGTGCTATGGTTTTTCTTTATCAAATTCAAACCACTTTTCTGATGTATTTTTGTTCCTCTTTAGATACAGAAATGCCAGGTGTCACCTATATACATAGCTGGTCTATAGATGTACCAGATGAGGCATCTCACAACAGTGGGCTGAGAACATCACCTAAAAACAAGTGAGGCTCTGTCTGCATGGTAGACTGCAGCATGGCCCAGTAATACCTGAATCTTTGAACTGGCTATTTTAGATCCTGGGACAGTGCAGAACTCATTGCACTGCAAAACTTGCTGAAGGAGCAGGAAAAATGTGCCTGCCATGAGCTCAATGCTACCTTCAGCCAGTAGCTGAGCTAGTCCAGGTGACAGCCTGCACTTTGCAGTGTAGGTAAAGACTCAGCATTGCAAGGTGCAGGGCATGTACAGCATGTGACAGACACTTTATAAGTAAATACAAACATGTGTGTAATGCAGCACATTTTGCATTGAATATTGCAACCAAGATCTCCAACCCTGCCTGTTGGAATGTTCTGGTGGAGTTATTTTTCCTTTGCAGAATGCACATACATTAAACCACTTGGTGAAGAGGCTTTGGGTTCTACCCAGCTCACACACCAGAACTCCCAGGCTCTCAGTTCTAGTCTTCTCACCCTTTCATTCATTAATATTTTTGGGATGGAGGAAGAGATACTGTGCCCAGCTCTTCCATTCTCTATGCAACCTTCTTGCTACCACCTATCCTTCTCATGTCAGCAAGTGAGAGTCCTAACAATGGGTAGCTGTCATATAGTTAAAACTAATTATTTATTAAGAAGTAAATTTGGTTTAGAAATATAATGGTATAGGCATTCCAGGGAGATGTCTAATTTTTTTGTATTGATATGTGCTTAGATAATTTGATTTGGTTTGTGATTTGCCTTTGTCACTATCTTCACAAGAAATGTTTGCTATCACAGCCAGATTGAGGTTATTGCTTGTTTCCATTCGGATTTTTTGATCATAAAAAAATTTTTTAAATTTATCTGTATATCAGCATCCAAAATGTATGTGAAAAAATACATATCTTCCCACATGGATGACAGAACTTCAATTCTTTGGACTGACATGATAAGGTCGGATAAGCTGCTCAGAATTTTTCCAAGGTAACGTCCAAGACCTTCAAAGAGACCTCAGAGAGGATTCAGAATGCACAAAAGCTTCATTTAATTTGTTTTTCTGGTGGTAGAGTGATTGGTGGATTCATATAATATTTTAACTTGAGAGCAGGAGTTAAACTAGAGCAACCTAGAAAGTGTTTTATGAGCCCTTCAGAGTTGCTGGGCAATTGATAGGCAATTTTTTATGCAACT